ATAAAGTTACTTCTGCAATGCCTCCAGCCAGTGATGAGTATCTTAGTGCTATTATAATTTACTGTTTATCTTGATGTGATTATTTTTCAGTTTTGCTAGATAAATATTTTTAGGCACCTTAAGTCTTGTTGCTCCATATCAAAGGTTTGGTCATCAAACAGCTGGAGACATTTTAGAACAGCTGTGAGCTCCATTATTACATAGTGAAAACTTTATTTTATAAAACTTTGTCATATTTACCCAAATATTAAAAGAAAACTAGATGCAAGAACAGAGAGATATCAATTTTTTAATGTCACATTAAGCATGTTGAATTTTGAATATTCATACACTATGTAATGCTGCAGACAAACAAGGAGTGATAGTGGAGATCTTGGTTGAGAAAATTCTTTAAAACTTTTCATGTAAAAATTTATTTTTACTGCCTCTATTTAGCATCTTCTCTTTTTTAGAACTTTCCAATTGGTTAAAGTCTCTTTCTTCCTTCGTGTTTGAGCTAAGGGTACTGGACTGCTGGTGGAAAGCTGTGGCATTGCTTTGTAAATGCCTGTGTTTTTCCCATGTTTCCTTTAAGTTGACAAGTAGCCACTGCTACTCAAACCCAAAGAGTAAAAGTTTCCACATTGTGTTATGTAGAAGATAGACTTGGCTGCAGGGTCAGAACAGGAAGATTGAGGTGTGATTATGCTGAATAAGCAAATACTCCTTTAGTGGTTGCCTGGGGAGGAATAACCCCCTGCACCAGTCCAGGCTGGAGGCCAAACTGCTGGAAAGCAGCTCTGTGGAGAAGGACCTGTGGGTCCTGGTGGACAACAAGCTGTCCATGAGCCAGCAGTGAGCCCCTGTGGCCAAGAAGGCCAATGGTCTCCTCGGGTGCTTTAGGTACTCAGCCCTGGTGAGGCACATCTGGAGTGCTGTGTCCAGTTCTGGGCTCCTCAGGACATGAGAGACATGGAGGTCCTGGAGTGGGGCCACTGGAGGGCTATAAAGGTGATTAAGGGACCGGAGCATCTCTTGAACAAGGACAGGCTCTGGGAACTGGGCCTGTTCAGCCTCGGGAAGAGACAACTGAGAGGGGACTTCATCAATGTCTCTAAGCACCTGATGGGGGGATACCAAGAGAATGGAGCCAGGCTCTTGATGGTGCCAAGCAACAGGAGATAAGGCAACAGGAATAAATTGATACACAGGAAGTTCCCCCTGAACATGAGGAACAAGTTCTTGACTATGCTGGTGACCAAGCACTGGAAAAAATGGCCCAGAAAGAGTGTGGAGTCACCCTCACTGCAGATATTCAAAAACCATCTGGACACAATCCTGTGCTATGTGCTCTAGGATGACCCTTCTTGAGCAGGGAGGTTGGACCAAATGACCCATTGTGGTCCCTTCCAACCCCACCCATTCTGTGATTCTGTGTGATTCTGTTTGTGGCAATTTCAAAACCTTGCTATGCAGATTAAATAATGCTTTGACAATGACAGTTTTTAGGAAGGACTTGGAGATCCAATTGGGGGTCATTGTCTTGTGCTTGGTTTGATTCTGGAACTGGTGTACATTTTGCAGTAGAGAACACCGGCTCATACTGCAACGATTTTGAATTCTAGACACATGAGGATGTGACAGGTATCAGAAGAAATCATGTCTTCCTCCTGCAAGGTATAGAATGGGGATTTTGGGAGCTGAATAGGGGTTTAGTGTGGTGCAACTTTGTTTTGTTCCTTGCAGATTCTGTTTTACATGAATCTAAAGGTTACATGAGATTTAAAATCTAGGCAGCTGCCTGTCAAGCTGAAATGATTTAGAAAACACTTAGTTTAATTAAATTAAAATTGAAATTCTTTTGTCCCTCTGAAATCTATTCCCCAAAATAAAAATATCTACACTGGGTTTAGGGATCTAGAATAAATTCTTTACTGGTAGAGACTATTTAAATATTGACTGGAGCTTATGGTGATAAGATTCACTAAAAGGGAACAGGGGTGTAATAATCTACCTTATCTTACTTTCTGTGTAATCACTGTTAACCATCACTGTTAAATCTATTCTCTCTGTATTCAACTGGGATTATCTTTTTTACCCTAAAGTATTTTTCATTGTATTTAAACAGGAGCCTATTTTTAACAGGAGCCTATATTTAAGTTTGAGAGTGTAACTGCAAATGTACGCTTTTCACACTGAATTAAGTATGAGAGAACACAGGGTATTCAGACAAACATAAACTTTAGGTCCCATTTTTATCTTTAGTGAGTTATTTTACATATTTATGTATATATGTATGCATGTATATGTACATATGTATATATTATAGTTACTGTTATCTGTGTACTAGGCTGAATATTCTCTGAATGTAATTTTGGGCTCTTCTTCAAGATTTTGTGTTTGTGTTCATAGTTATTTCTAAAACATCTCCACTGGGTTGTTCCATTGACCGTGAAAATAATGTTCAGCCTTTGATTTTTGTCTGGATAATGAAATCTTTCATTTTTAGCAATAGCTATTTCTCACTTAACTCTACTTTTTCCTGCAGGAATCTGGTATATCTGTAATTCCTGAGGAAAACAATTTCCAATGACAACAAAATTTCCTCCCATACTAGCTTTGTCCCCTCAGAATTCAGATCAAAAGCAGAATTATGACTTTTTTCTTTTTAATCTATTGTGACCTATGAAGACTAATTAAACACTCCATATCAGTTCTAATGTTTACCAGAAAGCCATAAAATAATACCTTTTATTTTGAAACCTGGCTGTTACAATGTGTGAAAAGAAGTTTAAAAATTTTATTCGTGAGACTCCTCTAGAAAAATGTAGATCTTGTTGCCTGTCATCTTTCTTGAATTCAGTGTTTGAGGGATGGATATTTGTCCTTACCAGAGGAGCATTGCGAAGTGTTGTATAGTTGTTATGTCTACATAGTAAATGTTTAATTTTCAGATGTTTGCTGTTTATGAAAACATTTGTGTGAGTAGATGTGTTGAGATGTCTTTTCTTTGTTAGTAATTGAGGCCAGTACGTAACTTCTCACTTACTTCAATATGCTTTTCACTATTCAATTAAAGTTGTTTTGAGTACTTTTTTTATTGAGCAAGATTTTGTTTTTGAAGTGGCCCCACACACTTAACTGGTTTTAATTCTACAGTTCATTCCAATGAGATAATGGTATATGCCTAGTTAGAGCTCTTTGGAACATTTTTGGGTGGATCCAGAATATTTTATTTGCTAGTCCTCTTATATTTGAATACCCTATTCTTTGCTGTAAACTTAAGAGTGCAAATATGAAAGGAAATGCCGTGAGTTCTCTTTGGGATCTCAAAGCTGTTGTCAGATTTCAAATAAAGTTGGGTAAACTAGTTAATCTTCTCTCTTGTGAGTAGTGACACACACTTGACCATAAGAAAAGTAAAAAAATACTTTTTTCTTGCAAAATGTTTGTTTTGAAGCTACATTGATAAAGTCAGTGAAATGGCTGTAGTATTCTGGTATTCCCTGTGACACTGAGTGTAGAAGTTGATTTCCTCCATAGCTTTGCACAACATATTTCTCATGTCTCCAGAAGCAGATCAGGCAATTGAGATAGTTTGTGGTATAGTGGGGAAATCTTTGTGGTAAGTGGATATCGTTTTGCTTGGTATGGTTTATCAGTTGGAGTAACATAGTGCTTTTACTGCAGTTCACAGTCATTGTAATCTTCTCATATTATGCATTAGGAGTGGTTTATGAATTATGCACATAACAGCATCAACCCAAGTGGAGGAACTGAGGTAGATTACCTCAATGAAAAATGATTTTTAATTGCCTGCTTTAATTCACAAAGCCAATGTTTAGACTGTGATGTCTACTGAACAGACTGCCTGTATATGGAGAAGATTTTTCCAGGCAAATTATGAAAAGAAATCTAGGACACTCAGGAATTTTTACCTTGCAGTATATGTTGATATAATGTAATTCTAATACTGTCCTCAGAGGTAAGAATTAAACAGAAATGTTGTTTTAAAACTACAGTTATTTGTCTGTGACAAATATCTTCTTACTGCTCCAAGGGATTTCTCTTAGAGGTATCAGAAAAGAAAGCATGAAAATAGCTTCAAATGTGCTTCCTCTTTTGAGGAGGACAAGTGATTAAATCTGATTATTGAGGGCTCTGCCATTATTAGAACTAGTAGAAACCATCAATCAAATATGTTGCTCCTTCCCTGTTGACTTCTACCCTCTATGATGGTGGTCACTGGTTCCAGTGACCTCCTCAGCTGCTTCTGCAAGACGTCCTCAATTGGAAGATTTTGTGGTTGTTGTTGGAAGAACATGATTACTATAGCAAAGAAAAGTAAGACAGCATCCTTCTAGCTACAGCTGTTTATTTTAATTTAATTATACATCTGAGCAAAACTGTATTTAGGTAGCTCAGTAAAAATTATCAGTATTTTGGATTTTGTTGGTGCTAACTCTTGGCAAACAGATTGTATGTACTTGCTGAAGCCTTGCCATCTCTTGTAAACGATGTTTTATTTTGCAGGTAACTCTGTTTAGATACAGAATAAAGTAACAGAAATGAGGTGGGGAGTAATACATGTGTCCAAACCATAGTGTCATGATTTTAGTATCAATTGGGGTTTTCAAGGTATCCTACGGCCGAGTGGAGATAACACAGGCAAGATGGGTGCTGTTGGACAGCAACTGTACATCTGTAGAGATACTATAAATTCTCTGAAATAACATCTGAGTCCAACCTCAGCTGACACAGTGAATTAAAAAGGAAATTTTATCCCAAAGGAATGAAACATAGCAGGGATACAAGTCTGTCTAGAATTAAGATCAAACACATTCACAACCCACAGAGGATAAATCCAACTTTACTTTAAAAATGTGCAGGACTAAATAGACTACAACAGCATTCATTGGTTGTACAATCTGGACAGCTTGTTAACAAAAGCTGAGGAGCAGTAATAGTTTACGTTGTAATTGTCCTTGCTTGAATTACTAACTGTTCTGTTTCTCTTTTAGGTTATGGTCAGACTGGTCCAGTGGTTCAGAGAGGTGGATATGACTCCATTGCTGCTGCTGTTTCTGGTCTCATGCATATCACAGGGCATGAGGTATAGTGCACAACTTACAAATTTTATAGGATCTTTGTGCTGCATACCAAAACTGGCTGCTGCATGGAACAAGTCAGCCTGTGCTAACACATCTGTTATGCAAACCCTCCTGAGTCCAGCAAGAGGTCTCATCTCTGGGAATCTAAGAAAATAATAGTACTTATATACTTCAGGTGTCTCACTCCAGGCATGTAAAGAAAAAGGCTCAAGAAAGAGAAAATTAAAGAAAAAAAGAAAAATCCCAAGTCTCCTGTGAATAAATTTGCAATGTATGCTAACCTGTTAATGGCCACTCCTAGTCACTTCAAGAGCTGTAGTAGACACATCATTGACAGCTGGATGATAGAACCATACCTATAAATGCGAGGTCTGACTGATGCTTGGATATTGATTTTCCCTTTGTAAAAGCAGGAACTGTGAAGTTATCTAGATAAATCTGAAAAAAGCTGGGTGTTTTTCATTTATTCTGCCTGCAAATAGGCAGACAGATGCCATGCATTTCTGGAAAAGCTTTACGTGCTGCCTATTCCTACTGACACCCAAAATCTTTGGTAGTTCTGGCAGTGCAGGAAGCATAACTAGTTTAGTTTCTGGATTCTAGAGGTACACCACATGTGTCTTCACCTCAGAAAAATGCTGGTCAAAGAAGCATTTAATTAAGTTGTCTTGAATCACCTACAGAAGCCAGTAATGTGGTCCCCAAATGTCCATTTTCAAGTGAGGTGGTGCTACAAGTCTGTTCTATGCATTATAAATGCTAGATACTGCTCTGTGGGGGTTCTCCTGGTACTCTGGAAGCAGTAGTGCAGATCTTGTGAGTACAATACTTGCATGTTCTAGATAAACAAGGCATTCATAAAGTTTTTGTGCTGTCAGCTTTTCATGTTTGAGTAGGTTGTTGAAAGCTAACCACATATGATCTGGACACAGCTCTATTGTAGGGTTGATATTCTGCCAATAGACTTGTTTTCTACTGGGAACAATGGCAAACATCAGAAATTTGTACTTCTGGCAGCTATCGTTACCAGAGTTGTCCTTTTTATTAGGGAAAAAAGCCAAAATCAAGCATTTTTGGACTGAGTAAGCTGGAACATCTTGTGCCTAGTTTCCTGACACTGCCAATTTCTGCTGTGTTATTGGTACATACTCATAGGATGTCCCATCTCAGAACATGAGAAGATGTGAAATTGAGTGCAGTCCTTACAGGCACTTCCCTTCAAATGTATAATGCACATATGCACTTCACAATGACTGATCACAGTAACTGTAGTGTAAGTAAATTTAACATTGTGTCCGTAGCATGGGGGTAATACTTCCAACACAACACCAGAAACTTCATGCACACCTCAAAACATACCAATCAAAATGAAAAGATTATAAAAACGGTTAGGAGGGGGCAGATGTTGTTGGTACAACATGAATAAAGGAAAGTAGATAGAAAGATTGAAAACCACAGGACTTCTGTACAGCTTTTCAATGATATGTGAGTGCCAGAATAAATAACAGTTACACTGAATAATTGCATGCAAGTTATATTATGAAAGTAATAGTCCTCAGTGGCTCTTATGAAGATGGATTTTATTAAAAGATTGTGTTAAGATCTACACTGGAAAGCCAGATGTTCACATCACCTCACCATGACTTGAGGTAATGTAATCATAGGAATCATTTAGTCATTGTCAGTAACAGCTTGGTCTGTTCACTGGGGGCTTCTAACAATTCATTCAAACTTAGTCACTGTTTCACCTGATTAAAATAAACATGTTAAAATTTCCTTATTTTTCTTTTCTTGAAGTTGTTTATGTAGTATTTCCTCAGTTTCTTGAAATAATTTTTTGATGTATAGAGCGACAGTATTGTTTCAAAGATTTAAGCAGTCAATGACTCCAAAGAAACAAATGTGCTTTTTGTTGTCGTAGTGAAAACTTACCCAAGTGGCTGTAAAATCACAGTGTATGTTTGTTTGAAAGTTGCTTCAAAATAACAAACTGGTAATAGTAGAATCTTCCATTTTTTCTACATTTATGTTCATGTGACAGAATTGTGTTTAAAATTTCACAAAACTAGGTCTGAACAAAAGTAGAAAGCCTTGCTTCGGTCAACATGTTGAAGTGTGGCCAAAGCCAAAAAAAAAATCTTATTATTTCATGCTGTTTTTTGTTTGTTTGTTTGTTTTTTTAATAAAGCTTAAATTATTTGTTGACGAGATTCCATGGAATTGATGTGCTAAAAGTAGTAAGTTCACTTGAATGTGTAGGCTAGGGTCTGATTTTCTGTTTTTAGAGTAAAATAGAAAAGGCCACTCATAAACTGGAAAAAAAAAAAAAGGACAAGTTATAACACATGGTGTTGGTTTTGTATTTAATTGTAGTAGCTATAGATAATCAGCATAACATCATCAGTGCAAGAGTGCTCTTTGGAAACATCCCTTTGGTAAACAAACCATTGAATGTTCTTGCAGGATGGTCTTAGAGGCATCAGCTTATGTGGCAGACAAATTGAATCTGAGCAGCAGCAAAAAAAGCATCTGCATACATGACTGAGATGATTAATGTTGAGGTATACATATTTATATTGAGTTATGCATATTTATGGTTCCTTATAAAACATTTTAATAATAGGGTACTAATATTTTGTCCTGCATCTGATATATACAAAACTGTACAATCCAATAGCAGTACATATTCCTACCTATAAAAACAAAAAACAAGTTTGCTTTTTTTTCTCTTTTATTTTTCCTGGTATCACTTAATGGTAATAACTTTTAAATTTTTCTGAGTGATAGTCTGAACCTTGAAATCAAGCTATAACTTCTGAAATACTGCAAAATTACTGGCACAAACAACTGCATTTGTGCTAGTGTTGTTTTTGCTGATTGTATAAACCCAAGTAGAACAGTGTCTTTAAATCATTCAGAAACCTGCATGTGATTCAAGGCCTTGGAAATGTACTTGATTACTTCTGTATTAGAAGTGTATCACACCTGTGAAATTTGAAAATCTTAATGTATTTATGCAGGGAATCTGTTTTGTGTAAATCGCTAACAAAAACCCATTTTGAATGAAAGTAGTTGCTTCAGGGCATGTTCAGGTTTTCTTTACATAAATTAAAATATGCTAAAGGACAAAGTTTGCACTGATGACAGTTTTATTGTCCTGGACAATGTAATTTATAGATACTTCCTGGTTAAACAGCGCTTTCAAGTTTCATAATTGATGAACAGAAAGCTTTTACTTAATATATTCAGATACATCAATGCCAGATGAATATCCCTTTGATGGAAATTTCTATGACTCATCAAGGCAGTAACTTGAAATTAATTAAATAAAGCCCAATTTGATTACAAGTTCTCTTCCACCTCCTTGTGGAATATTACACATGGTCTTCAATATTTGAAGTACCTTTATGGTGATGTATTCTTTCTTGCGGAAAACCAAATTTATTTTACATTTTTTAAAAAAATTACAAATTTTGTTTAGCATTTAATCTGCAATCCAGAGAAGCCATTCTTAGGTTTAGTACCAAACAAACTGTTACAAAAGGATCCACATGTATATAGCTCAGAGCTGTTGAAAAATACAGCCATTGCTGGTTCATATTAGCTTCAGCAATTATTTCACATCTGTAAGGACTACTGGACTTACAATGCTTTTATTAAGCATGTCATTTCAAAACAGTTTTCATTTTAAATGGATGATTTTTGTATTATTGATGTAATTTTGGGAAGAGAAATTATGTCAAAGGGAAAAAAAAACCCAATTCAGGAAAGGAGGCTTCTAACACATGTTGTGGCTATATCTGGGCCAGAATATGTCGACAAATTGTAAGGAATTTAGCAAACAGCAAAAATTAAGAATAAAAGTGTAAACTATAAGGTTGAGCAATAGCACAGTGATTTAAAAACAAAAGCTCTGCTTTGCTGGTATGAATCTTTATCATTTCAAATGAGGAAAGGGCAAGTCCTGATGCTGCACCTAATTTAGGGTTCAAGCCAGCCCTTGAGGCTGGATAGCAGGTTTGTTTGCTTAAGACACATTCTCCCTGGATAGGGCTACATTTGGTCTTCCTACCAGAACAATAATATCACTATTGTCTGGCAGGGGTAGTGGTGCTTGTCCTGTTTGAAATAACTTGCTTGAATAAAAGACACTGTGTACTTACTTTGCCCAGGTAACTGATATAATGCTAGCTACACTAAAATACTGTTGTGCTGGCAGAAGCTCTGTCAAAATCAAGGTATTTCTATGTGTGCATAGATTTATCCTTCAAGTAAAGCAGCTTCACATCTCTTGTTCTGCAGGATAGTGATAAAAGCCTGGATGAATCCATTTCACAGTACTTATACCTGTGGATCCTGCCACAGGAAGACTGGTTTATGGCACAGGAGCTGATTAAAAATGATTAAATGGTGAGACCTGGCAGCTACTCATGGGTCTTGGTAGAAAGACCAGGGACGGCTAGGAATTGTGTGGACTGGTTCAGAATTATAGGTTGTGGAGTGTTAGGATAAAACAAAGCCAGCATGTTAAAAATAATATAGCACTATAGTGCTAGGAGTTTGTAGGAGTGTTCTTTAAGGAGAAATTGTGAAAGTATATTAGAAATAAAGGTGAACTTTTTATTGAGACAAAGGAAGTGTTTGCTTTTAAACATTAGGTAGTTCAGTACCTGATGAGAAAGGTTCTAGAATTCATATATAACCACATATTAAAATAATCCAAATTTCTCCATCTTCAAAATTTAGTGCTCTTCTTCAAGAGAAAAATTAATGACACTGAAAACAATGGAAAAAGCTTTCAAACTAAAAATGTTGCAGCACATCTCAAGTCTTTTTGGTTTCTTCTCAACCCACTGAATGTAATGAAGTGGTTAAAATAAAGAACAATTTAATGAACTGATTACTTGCAGCAGATAATGAGTTAATTTTTTTGGGTTTGGTTGGATGTTTTTGTATCTGTATTTTTTTGCTGTGTGGGGTTTTTTTTTTGTTTGTTTGGATTTGTTTGTTTGTTTTTATTTCTCTGTGGTAGCTCTGAGGAGCAAAAACCTTCTCATGGGCTAATTAGTTTTCTTGGTAGGCCTGTGCATATAAAAGTGAAGAACAAACTTTCCTGATGTTTCCTGGAGTTGGGTATAATGAGACTGGTAAATAGCTGGAACCTCTGAGTTGTGTTTTCTATTGGGAAGCTGAAGTAGCTTAGTGTAGAGTCTCGAGAAGGAAGAAATAAGAGATTCTCCAAGAAAGTACTACTTCTTAAAACAGTGTTCACCTTAATATTGTGTAGTTTATATATCATCTCATGGATATCTAGGCTATAGATAGTCACAGACTAATCCCTACTGTGGTTTGAACAACAGTAATTTTTAAATTTTTTTTTTATATTTTATACAGATTTTGTAATTTTTAGTCAATTTTCATAATATGAATAAAATAGAAGCATTTTCCATCATATGTAGAAAATATTGTCTTACTGTCTTTTATTTCAGAATTGCTCTATTAATGCAACTTATAATAAAATACAAATTTTAAAAGAAAAACATAGTAACATACATGACTCGATAGCAGGTTTGTGTAAATCCTGTTGGAGTGCAAAGGAAAATGATGGTAAATATTTTCTTACATGAAGCCAAGACACTCTTAAAAATAATTATCAGGGAACAATTCTTACAGTCTTATTTAGAAGGTTATTATTACACATAGCAGTGTAATAATAAATAAATAATAAAACAGTAATTCCACTTAGCAGTTTAGACTTTATTGGCAGTTATTATTTATCAATTGTAATGATTTTAAGTTGTCTTATGATAGGCTTACTTGGGTGCCAGAGCTCTGGAAGTCTCATTAGCTTTGCACTGCTGCTTTTCTTCAAGGCTTATAAACTTAAAAAAACCCAAAAAGCAAACAAAAAATAGGACTTCAAAATAAGGAACTGCTGTGATAATCTGATCACCTGACCTCATACTTTTCAGAGTAGAAATGGAGAATATTTCAGAAGATGCACTATGATAAAAGCCTACCTGGGCTGAAATTAGGAATTAATTTCGCCATTGATTTCAGAGGGGACATATGTCATGCCAATGATTACAGAATTTCTGAAAGACATGATGTTAACATGAAGATTCTTCCCTTGATGCTAGAAAAGGGATGACATACAAGAAAAGGATATTTGAACAAACACCTTTTCAATGAGAATGAAGCAATATGGCTCTGCCTTTTAAACAGACAGGCATCTGTGTCAGTGTACTGTAGAAATTGTTTGGGCCTTTGGCTTCTAGACATAAAGTTCAGTCTTCACTAGCTTCACTTGTCTCTAACATTTTCTCTTTTATTTTTGCACTGCTGAGTTGAAGCATTATGTTATCAGGGAAAAAAAGTTGCGTAATAAATCATTCATGATTTGCAGTATGTGGCATCACAAAGTGGCAGTTCTGTGTACATGCTGCAAGAATACCTGGTTTTCAGTGGTAGTTTTTATACATCAGCTCACTCAAAGATACTAACTTCTTGCACTACCTGCAACTGAGTGCAATCATCCAACCAATTCCTTCTCTACCAAGTGGCCAGTTCAGAGACAAGCATGTCATGTGGGACAGTGTCAAATACTTTGCTCAAGTCCAAGTAGATGACATTAGTCACCCTTCCCAGCTCTACTACTGCGGTAATGCCATCATAGAAGGCCACTAAATTTGTCAGGCACAATTTGCCCATAGTGAATCTGTGTTGGCTGTCACAAATCACCTGCCTATTTTCCATGTGCCTTGGCATAGCTTCCAGGAGAATCTGCTCCATTATCCTTCTGGATAGGAAGAGGAGACTGGTGGGCCCATAGACCCCTGGACCTTCTTTTTTACCCTTTTTAAATATGGGGGTTATGCTTCCCTTTTTCCAGTCAATGGGAACTTCCTGGCACTACTATGACTTCTCAAATATGATGGATAGTAGCTTAGCCATTCCCACTGCCAAATCTCTTGGGTCCTGCAGATGTATGTCATCAAGTCCAGTGGGCTTATGCACTTTCAGGTTTCCTAGATGGTCTTGGACCTGATCATTTCCTACAGCATGTGGTTCTATGTTGTCGTCTCTCAAACAGATATTGGGGTGGTTGAAGCCGCCATGAGGACCAGGGCTTGTGAAGGTGAGGCAGCTGTGATCTCTCGGTTGAGGGCCCCATCCACTCCATCTCCCTGGATGGGTGTAGTAGGATGATAATGTTACCTGCAATTGCCCTCCCTGTGCTCTCAGCTCTTCATTCATCCCCAGTGAAACTCTATGTGCTCCAGCTGGTCACTGACAGAGGGAAACACTGCCTCCTTGTCTCCTTTGCCTGTCTTTCCTAAAGAGCCTGTATCCCTCCATTTCAACGCTCCAGTCACAGGAGTCATCCCACCATGTCTCCGTCATGCCAATAAGATCGAAGCCCCTGCACCATTGTATTGTCTCTGCTTGTTTTCCTGCTTTAATTTTTAACTTGTTTATTGTTTTGTTTGTCTTGTTTCATTTTGGGGTGTTTTCTTTTTCTTTAGGATGGTGAGCCAGTTAGACCAGGAGTAGCAATGACGGACCTTGCTACTGGGTTGTTTACATATGGAGCAATTATGGCTGGTTTACTTCAGAGGTATAAGACGGGAAAAGGACTACACATTGACTGCAATCTCTTGTCAACTCAGGTAGGAGTTGTGAAAATATTGCTTTTTGTTGTGTAGATGTTTGAACCTAAGAATACCATTTGCATATCAATTAATGTGCGTTACTTAGTATAACTAATGACAGCAATAATAATATTATTCTCTTATAATAATAATATTCTCTTAACCTGCCACTCTGGTAGTGACCATTTCATATGACATGGTTATTGTTGCTACTGAAGTAAGTTTGGTTTTCACTTTTTGCAAAGGGCTGCCATGTTCTTTGGAAACACAGATTAATCAAGGTTTATCATATCACTGAGATTGTAACAGTTGTAGTGAGTAATTGGATACAGACAAGCGTAGGTGGTGAAAGCAATGTCGAAAGGAAGGCTTTGGCACTGGGGAACGTTACTTATAGAGCGACTGAGTAACTTGCAAAATCACCTGGAGTATTAAAGGATCATCCAAGTTTCAAAGTAATGTAATCCAGGAGGTCTGCCTTCCTTCCCAGGCTCTGGGAGTTAAAGAAGGATGTAAGCTTGAAGATGCAGCATTTTTCCTAGGCATTAAAGGCAAAGTTGTTTTGATCATGAAAGATATAGCATATACTAAAAATAATGAGGATTTTAACTCTTCTTTGAATGTTTGAAGAACATTGGTAATTTATAATTAATAATAATTTTTTAACTTATAATTAAAGTATTGATTTCTAAAAACAATTTTTAAAAAGCAAGTGACATTAATATGAGCTGTATATGATCAGATGATACATTGTTTTACTGATGTACGTACTTGCTGGTACCAACCATGGTGCGGAGGAATTTTTGTTTGTTTTAGAATGTATGTCAAAATTGTATGCAGTCATAATTAAAGCAGCTACAGTGCTCCATTGTTTTCATCTTTATTCAATTGTATTTTTCTTCACATTGTACTTGTCAGTACAGTTGAGAAATTACAGTGCCTGTTGTGCTAAAAGTTGGCCCAGGTGTGAGCAAGAGGTTGGACACCTATATCATTTTATGATAACAATGATTGAGACTAATGATTGAGGTTGCTCTTGTTTTAGTGCCTCCTGCTTTTTTCTGAATAACTACTGAAATCAGAAAGGAGGGGAAATCCTTGCATAAATCAATAAAGAACTTTTCATTTGTTTCGGAGCAAATATTTGTAAAATTTGAACTTAATTATATTTAAATGTATTTGCAAATGTTGTATCTGTATTGGAAAAATGTTTAGAAAAAAATGTTTATTAAATATTTTGTGTATATATGGATGTAGGGGGGGCTTTATGTTTAAGGTACTGTAGTGTTATATATTATGGCAGCTGCTCCTTGATGTTTAATTTCTAATTTTAAAAAAATACTTCTGATAATTCTTATTAATTTCCAGAGTAATTCTGGGAGGGGTGTGTGTGTTTAATTCCTTGTTCCACTGTTTTATTTTTGTTTTTTGTTTTTTTTTAAATGAAGTCTTGATTATTATTCAGTATTTTATCAAATGCTGAAAGCAATAAGAGTTCAAGTTAGGTGTTTCTGTAGCTCTCTTACTTCAGCTTATTTTGTTACCTCATTTGTCTTTATAACCTTTTTCCTTGATTAGGGTAGATTTGTCTATACACAGAAGTGTTCTTACTGGAAAATTTCCACCTGCACTTCCACATCATTATCCTTTAAGCCAGTCACTAGCATACACAAGGAAGAGATTGAAGACCTGGATGGATGTTAGTGACCAATGAATGTCACAATGAACATGTGACATGGTGTTTGTCTTCTACATGATTCGTTGAAGCAGTGCTAAATGGTCAAGGAAAAGCTTAGTAGTTTTTTCATGTTGTTTTTTTAAACATTAGCCCCTTCCCTGCTCATTATCAAATTATATTTATCTAAAAGTTATTAAGAAGTAATTCCATAAATGCACACTCTCATTGAAAAAGAAATGTTTTTTATTGTTTACTTCAGTGCTGGGTAAATGAAATTCAAATAATTTGTTATATTGGAGCAGAGTATGGATAAAAGATGTTATTCAGAAAACAGCTCTTTTGTTTTAGATTACCCTTTGCTTCAGTCCAAATTAATTTTAGGGTGCTGTCACAAGACTGTAATGACAACATCTTTTAAATTGGAAGAATTATTTATGGATGAGGTTCTAAAGTAAAAAAAATAATAACATGTAATTAATCCCATTAAAAAGATGTGTTAAAATGAATGAAGAAAAACATAAGTAGCAGCTGAGTCGCTCTCAGAACACCTAGTTTCTTGGTTCGTTTTCTTTCCTCTTGTAAGAGTGGTAGTTACTTATATGTATATGAGTTTGTCTACCAAGAAAGAGTAGTACAAATCTGAAAATTAATGTAAATAAATAAATTATTCTTGCAATACTTCTGATAGTAATGAGTTTTTTTAAAGGAAGTTAGACAATTACTGTGATATGATCAGGGTCTTTAAAGAAACATGTTTCTAAAGAGATTTTGATGTACTCAACTAGGTATCTAAAGCTATCTTTTCCTCATGAGATGAATGTTTAAAAAGAAGAACTTTCTGATATTTCTCATGGATGCTGCCAAAAAAATAAGGAACCTAAAGTTTTAGACTTTCTGTTTATTAGGTACTTGTTGGTGTTGATTAATGATAGGATCTAGAGGTGAAACAGACACATTGTGATAACTTATCCTTCAGCATGAGTTTTGCTGAAGTGTAGTAATTTTTAATGAGAAAAAAAGGAATCTTCTATGTGTACTGCACCATCCTATTTATAGTGCTGTGACAGCAGGGTCTTATATGAAACTTCTTGGTTTTGCCAGCATAATATAGCAGTGTGCTTGGATCTTTTCTTCATCCCTTTGTCTGAACCTAAAATTGTGAACCTGCCCATATGTCTTCATAGTTCAGTGTTGATGACTGACTGTCAGAAAGGAATAAAAACCCCAGGGGTTAAGTCACTCAGGTAATTAGAAAATCTTGAAAAAAACTGGTTGGTTTATTTTACAGGATAAGCCTTAGCATCTAAATGTCCATCTCTGGCTGTGCTATCATTTCTCTGTATGCCTTGTTGAAATGCAAGAGGATTTATATATTACATATTTATTTATTTATTTATTTGTTGTTGTTTTGCTGTTTGTTGTTGTTTTTTGTGGAGGGGAGGGCTGGAGAATGCTTTTGACACAAATTTCCTGCGCAGACATGCAAAAACAAAGTATTGAACTGAATTCAGCTGCCAACAAAACTGATCTGAAACTTTTTAAAGAGCTAGTTATTAACTAACTGTTAAGTTAGCTTTGTATTTGTGATCTGTCTAGAACCAAATTGTGAGATCCCATTCTCTGAAGAAACATTATTTTTAGGATATCTTAAAATATGCATCTCTCTTTCAAATCCTATATTTTAAATATTTCTTTAAATATGTGGGGATTTCTTTCCCCACAACAAAATAGAATTCTAGGATTTTTTTGTACAAGAGATATCATAATTCTTAGGATGTGGTTTTGCTGTGAGCAGAAACTTTCTATATCTCTCATCTATAAACTTTTAACCCATGTCGTACAATTCCTTTGAAATTTTTGACTTTTAGATGATTCACAGTTGTAAGCTCCAGACCTTTCAGCATCTAAATAGTGTCCTTTAGATGATACTGATAAATAAGAAGGAAGTGGGGTTTGGATTTGGTTCCAATTATGCAATTGTGCCTTTTCTTCTGTTGTGGCTTAAAAAAATCTCTTGGAAGTTTTAATATCCTTCCTGTATTTAATTACGACCAGGCTCCAACAAATACTGTAATAAGTTGGTTTCATTTGGATTAAAAATCTGCAAGAATTATTTTATATTTAACATTTCTACAATTTTTGAAGTATATTTTTTCCCAGGTTCCATAGACAGGATAATGTGGTTAATATTTTTTGTATAATATGATTGTTCATCAGACACTTCTCTGCTTCTAGTTACTGTGTTTTAGTTTGTATTTGCCATAGCAAACACTCAATCTTCTTAAAATATTGAAGTGACTCTAGAAAAACCTAGAAGACTGGTATACATTATTTTCTTTATTTCATTTTTGTGCTTAATTAAACAGTTAGTTTACTGAGGGAATAGTGAGGGTTAGAAGCTATTAGTTTTTTGTTCCTACATCACATTTTCCCAAGATGATTCTGTTTAAGGCTTACCTATTCAAGGTGCTTTCAGTGCTATCTATTCAGGGCTTTCATGGCATGTCTTTGTAGCAGTTATTAAGTATAGGTGAAACTGGTAACAGCTGCATACTTCCTGTAGGACATACATGGCATCATAGAATCCCTGAGCAGTAAGTTGTGTGGAAATATCAATCTTGGAACTTGAATGCTGCTCAGATGTCTTGTCTCTATCTTGTTGCTTCTCCGCTTGCTGAGAGTCATGAGTTGACTGAATACCAAAAAAAATGAACCTTTTTTAGAGGTTATTGCTTCTGGTGATTTTGGAGGCCAGCTATGAGGACTGTTACACAGTTGTCTTGTTTTTGGGTATGGTTTGAATAAGTGGTTTTTTTACAAGCTTATAAAGCATCATCTTTGCAAAACATAGTATTCTTAATCTCCATCATAGTAAAAAATTGAGCATGTGCTGTATGGAGATGTCATCTTTTTCACTATATACCTCTCATATGGAAAAATAACAAAATCTGAATTAATGTGAACATTTCTTTAAACATATACTGCATTTTAAACACTTCTTGGCCTGTATTCTTGACAATTTCCATTGAGGACAGCTGTATAACTAAGAACAGAACTTTTCCCTCTGGGTTTTAAGCAGCCAGAATTTGATTGAATAGACCAGAGGACCATACACACATGACAGTAACTCAATTTAATATTGGCCTCTGTGGAATGTGTGTTATGATTTCTAATGATTAGTTATGCAGTCATTGGTAGAACATCCTCCAACTGGATCTTGGTTTTATTTAGACTTTTCTTTACTCTGTAAACAGAGTACATATTCAAATTGCTAGGGAATTTCTTCTTTAAATGCTACCTAACTGTAAATCCTGTGTCTTTTTGTTCTTGTGCTAAAGAA